CTGACACTGTGCTGACTCAGAGCTTCAGCCTCACTCATCTGTGTTGCTTATCGATACACAGACTGCTCTGGCTCTCTCTCTCGACCTGGCTTGGGCACCACACAAAAGGCAAATACATGAAATCAAACCAGGGCCGCCAATAGCCGAGAGCTCATTTCACTGAAGCCTGACAAATGAGGGTCCATAAATAGTCTGTCACATGGCATCACAGTCCTGTGAGCCAGTGATCAATAAGAAATCTGTTCTTTGGAAAGTGCTGCCTGATGTTTCACTTATTCTGTGCTGTTAACCCTTTGTAGTATGAACGTCCTCAGTGGGAAGACTGGGAGTTGCCTCTAGGTCTGATGTATATGTTCACACTTTCCATCTGTTGTCGTGAACAACAACAGACCACCCTGGTTCAACTTCTTTGACATGACCCCTCCCCCAACACACACACAAATACATGCACTTGCATGCATGTGATAAATAAAGGGAGACATATACCATAGTTCCTGCATAAAGAATTTTTTAGACCACCTTGAGGATGCATAGCAAGACATTTTTATACAAATCAATTACATAAGGCAGGACCTGGATCAAAAATGTAATGTACTTATGGCTAAAGTAGAGAGTTCTTGCAACAAGGCCAAACACCAGGAAGCACAATCAATAACCTTTCATGCCTGTTTGTGTCCAGAAGGCTGAGCTGAATCAGCCAGTTATTTTCTTTCAGAGCATCATGTCTGACACTTATTCTAGATAGAAAACCAAAGGAGGAACAGTTGTTTGGGGTCAAGTGGCACCCCAGAACATTTGTAGGGTGATAATTACACAAAATCTAAATTATTGGCCACTTTTTATTGTTTTGTTTTTCTTAATGTCCCCAGATTTAAAAAAAAACCAAATAAATATTTTTCTTTGTTTTTATTTCAGGCAATTATTGTTTATACACAGGCTGAAATATTATTCAATATGAGTCGTGCGCTGACAGACCTGCTGCACATTATGCTAATAGCACAAAGGGAAACATGTTTTATCTCTCAGTTTGTCCTGCAGCGGTGTTTCCAGTGGGGGAGAACCAAGTGAATGAGACAAAGGCAGTAAAAAATATGCGTGTGAACAGCCACTGTGCAGCCACAAAGGTCAGATAAAATCCCTGCCTACTTTAATTTATGTGTTACCTTCATGTCGTTCACGATGGCCTGGAATAATCCACCCAGCGCTCCACACTCCTTCTCCACCGAATCCATGGTGTCAGAAACGAACAAAAAAGCTCGTAGAAAGGAAAATAAATCTGTTATCACGATGTTTAAGCGTTTTCAAACATCTGGCATGGGGATCTTTGTTTTCATCCGCCTTTCGTTGTTCTCTCCTACAACAAAGTAGCCAGCAGAGGGGAGGATGCGAAGCCGCAAAGCCCACAGCCAGCAGCCTGCGGAGCGCACAGACAAAAAGAAATGTGCTACTCGATACGGCACCGGGGTCTGCTTCTCGCTCCAAAGCCGCTACTCGCCTCTCTGACGCACAGGAGGGTGATGGAGCAGGGACGCGCTAGCCGGGGGAACTACAGCCGGAAAACGTGGGGGGTGCACGCACAGTGGCTCCTCATGATCACTGCGTTAACACTAATAACAGCGAGATCACAGGAGGAGGAGGAGGAGGAGGGGGCACCTCGGGAGGCTGGATCGGTCGCAGGGCTGGGACACGGGGACGCGCTCCGCTGTTAGTGGAGCAGATGTCTTCGTACTGGAGTCTCCCGTAACACGATCCATGGGAATGGAGAGGAGGCTGGTCAAGTGGGGTTTTTTTTGTCAAATATAATGGGTGAGAAGGAGGGGACAAGGAGGAACACCCCTTCTTTCCTTCCTCCTCTCCTCCCCTCGCTCCACACCCACGCAAACAAAAGTGAAGTGAAGCCTGTCTTTCCGTTGAGCAACTGATTGAGTAGCAAAGGAAGATTTCCTCGGTCTTCTGTGTGTATTGACACACGCGTCTGTTTGCTGCACCCTGAGCGGATCTTAGTTCTCAGGAAACAGAAGCATGTGGAGCCATCATCACCTCACTGTATTAACTAGCTAATCTCTTGAATCAACATGGCAAAAGACAGCGGGATGTTAATTAATATCAAAATTATTTCCTTTGACACGAATAATCCTTCATCTAGGAAAACGTGCCTATAAGAGTTAGCCAGGGGCGGATCTAGAACATTTTGGATTGGGTGACCGAGACTAAGAGAGAGGTGGCACATTTGAAATACATCCATTATCTATGAAGCTTATTACTGCACAGGGTCGCGGAGGGGCCAGAGCCAATCCCAGCCGACACTTGGCACCCTGGACAGGTCGCCCGTCTATCACAGGGCGACCTGTCCACACACACTTCTACAGATGCATGTCTTTGTACTACGGGAGGAAACCGGAGTACCCGGGGAGAACAGGCAAACTCCACAGAGAAAGGCCTCGGGTCGCCCTGGGCTCGAACCAGAAATCTTCATGTTGTGAGGCAACAGCGTGCCACCATGCTGCCATTTGAAATACTACATGTAAAACGTAAATTAAACCCCTAGTTGTATAAAATAATAAACTATACATTATTAAGAGTGTTTATTTTTTGTAAAAATGAGACACATTATGCTTTGTTGGGGGTGGCTGTGGCTCACGAGGTAGGGCAAGTCGTCTTCTACCAGCAAGTTGGTGGTTCGACTCCCGGTCTCCCCACATGCCTAAGTGTCCCTGAGCAAGACACTGAACCCCAAATTGCTCCTGGTGGCTTGACTAGCGCCGTTGTGTGGCAGCCTTGTTGTCATCGGTGTGTGAATGGGTGAATGGTGTATAATCTCCCTGTAAAGCGCTTTGGCCAGTGCATAAAAGCGCTATATAAATCAGTCCATTTACCATTGTTTAACAAACTTTGGCTGCACTCCTTATATACTCCAGGCCAGGGACATTACTGCTGTACAGTGGTTCCTCCCAACAGAGGTGAATCATGCCAAGTACTCCATAATAACATAGTCAAATAAATGAATGCAAACAATACACAGCATGCATGATATAAAATAAAACTAAAAGCACTAGATAATGTTAGCTGTGTTTAAAGCAAACATTTGTCTTTGTTTTTCATTGTTTATTCATTAATACTGACGTACTCCTGCTACAGCCAGGAGCTATCACTGTTATCTTAGGTTAGCACAAAGACTGGAAATGTGAAAACAGTTGGCCTAGCTCTACCCGGATGTACTGGAAGAAATTCCACGTGCCTGACAGAAGTATCTTGTTTGTTTAAGTTGTGAGGTGGAGCCTCTATGGATCAAACACATCCCACATATGCTTGATTGGATTGAGAAGTGGGGAATTTGGAGGAATTTTTATTCTCCTTGGGTCACGTCAGTAAAGTATGCTTACAGAGTGATTACATGATGTGATGTAGCATGTAATAATATCCTTTATACTTGTTATACAGTAGAAAAGCATTTATATACTGTAGCAACCAGATACCCAGCATCCCGTCATGATAGCCAGGCCTATAAACGGGAGCAGTATCATAAACATGAATTCTGTAAACACAAGAATAGCACATAGAAAGCATAATCATATTCTCTTTTTTATTAAGTTGTGGTGACTACACTTAGGAACTATGTCTGGTTTGATATCTCCTACCCATGCGGACAGACATGAAGTAGAGAAACTGGGACTGCAGCCCAGTCCCTGTGCTCTCACCACAGAGCTCATTGGCATTTTTAAGAAAACAGCAATAAAACAGAAAATCTCCTCAGCACAGATGCTGACATTCCTCACCATCAAACCCCCTCAGAAAACAGGGTCTGTTCTGTTCTCTGCCATACCGCTGATGCATTTGCGCCTGTGAGAGTTTCCTTAATTTAGCCAGAATGGGTTTTAGTGAGGAAAAAATGCAACCACTTCTGTTTCGGCTTGCTCTCCCGGTAAGACTGTACAACTGAAAGCAATCAGAGCCCTAAGTACATCAAGCTGGAGATACTCAGAAGGTTTTGAAGGCTTATATAACTGACTTTAAGGGCTTTGACTTCTGGGTATACTGTCATCCACCACTCTGTGATAATGCTTGTTTATTTTTCAAGCCGTGCATTTCACCTCATTTATATGAGAGACTGAAGGAAAATCATTTATCATTTCATTAGCAGAGGACACAGTAAATGCCATCTGACATCTAATCAGCTTCTCAGTAAGTCACTGGAATCTGGCTAATGTTATATCTGTAACACCACATAAGGTTACAAGATGGGAACTTTAAATCAAATACCGGTTTATTTTTTCTCATCTTTCCTCATTTTCTACCTGTTCAGTTTCTGCTCCCTCTAACCTTGATCCAGGCACATAAGCAGCTCCCCTTGATACAAAAAGAGAAACACAGGCCTCATGATATAATGCGAACTCTCACCTCAGAGACAGGTCTCCACGATTTAGCTGCAACCTTTGCCTTGTCTGGTTTATCACCTGTAGGGAAGGATAACATTCTGGAAGCTGTGATCGATTAGTGACATCACTGCTGAGGCCCTGTTCCCATTTCACTGTAAAATCAATCAAGATTTATCATCTGAGGTTGAGTCTGGTCAGACTGTTATGTACATTAAGCCATCTTTTGTAACACTGAGCTCACCTGCAGGGGATCACAAAGACTTTTAGGGAAAAGAACAAAGTGATCATACTGAGTGTACAGACGGACAGCAGAGAAGTGGATTAAACACAACATGTCTGAGAAATCCCAGTGGGTGTTTCGCTACTTCTTTTTTCCTTTGTAAAAATGTGTCACCGTTGGACTCCAATTTAACAAAATGAATTCAAGCTGCCGCTCTCTATCTGTGAGGAAATGCCAAACATTTAAAAGCCACCTCTCAAGTCTACTGGGGCTGAGTTTGAAACACTGTATTTGTGGCATATGTTTACTGTCTAATCACAGCTTTGCTTCAGTGCTGACAAGTAAGTCACCTGCTCTATTCACACAAAGTGTAATGGTCTTTATTAGTCCCTGCATCTAATCAGCATCTTTTTTTTTGTTTTAGGAGTATAACTTCATTTCATAGCCTTGAAGGGGAAAACATCACATGAGAAGTTTATAAATCTCCTTGAACCAATGCAGCTTTTTGATGTTTCCAACTTTTACAGTTTCAGTTTGATTTACATACTGAAACTTCTCTAAGCAGTGTCCTCTAACTGCCAGAATCCCGGTGAAATAAAAGAGGATAACAACGTTGATCTGCTGGTATTGCCTTCAATTATTAATAGCAAACAAGTTTTCAATAATAAGCTTTATGAGCAGCAACAAGTGATTTTTTTCTCTCAGGCCCAATACAGACGATCTAATCTGGAGTATGGAGGTTATTGCAAGTGTAAAGAAAGGTAGGGAAAATTCCAAACTAAAAACATACAATCACCTCAGTTATGTTAATAATTTCATTTATAATAATAACAATAAATAATCATTTAATTCTACATTTTCTTTCTAAAACATGCCAGCATTGAACATCAATCAAAAATAAGGCAGTAAAGAAGAGTGGTCTGGAAATGGATGGAAATATTAGTTATTAATCACGTCATGAGTGTCAGGTCTTTCTTTGGGAATCTAAACATAGTTCTATGTAAGGTTAGTGCTATAAAAATATGTTAAATTACATCATTTATTATGCAGCCATTGGTGCATGGCAACTCATTTCATCATAATTTATTTGGTACAGTACATTTACATAAATGCAGCAAGTGTAATTTGTGTCTCTTTCTTTTTGAAGACCTTCTGACTTCATTGCGGCTCCCACCACATCTGAAACCAAACTTGTGCCCTCATGTTTGACATATCCCTAAAAACACTGCAGATTTTTTGACTATGTAGACCCCACCTTACAGGAAACCGTTTTTTCAGCACTTGCCAGCACGGATTTGTGTTTTTTTTTTTTTTTGGAACTTGCTTTTTGTCACCTTAATATATTTGTCAACGTTTTTATGGTGCAGCTGTTCAGTGAAGTGTACTGACCATATTGATAAGTCTCCGATGTGGGGTGCTAAGGATATTGGGGTAGGAATCTCAAACATTTGCAACTTAAAGGCTGGCAAACAATGTTTTATTCACAAGCCAAGTGGACAGAAAATTAAGACAAGAGACAAGCAATACATGTGGATGAGGTCAAATTGCTTCAAAAGAAGTTCGACTAAAAAATACTGTTCAAGTTTAAGATGCTGAAACTTCCCAGCAGCAACTGAATGCAGCAACACAGAAAACTTTAGAAAGCAGTTTATGCTTTTAATTAGATGATAAATTTGACAAAAAGATAAAAACTATTTCCTAATGTCCTTGTTAGATGTACTGGAACTCTCAGTAAGTCTTCAGTTGTGACTACAGTAATTTCTCTTGGTTCAGCATCTTGCTCCCTTCACTGATATGGGCTACAGGGGTGTGAGTACTCTTTAACAGTGTAGAGCCTCTCTAAATGTGACACACCACAATCCCATACATCAACACTTCACAGATGGACAGAGAGTTGTCCTGGGAGAAAACTCACAATCTGTGGCATGCACTCACAACAGTCTTCAGACAGGGGCTGGATGGCTAACAAATGAGCTCATGTAAACTAAACTGCCACTTCTGGCTGAGATGGGCTCTCTCCTTTGAGCCCTCTGCATCTCTTGCTCTCTTTCTTTTCATCTCCCCTTCCTTTACTTTCACCCACCATCTTCCACTTCTAATCTGACATCTCAGTGCTTTGTTCCAATTGTCTCCCCTCTCACTATTTTATTATTACTTCCTAAACCTCTTAATATACTTCCTTTTTCCACTTACTTGTGTGCTGGTGGTCCCTCAGTGGGCTCACCAGCTCCATGTAAGCCTGTGGAATTTCCTCTACAGCTTGCCTATCAGGTCCTACTCTCCTCCTGAAGGATCCCACAGACACGTGAGTGTCTGTGTACTGTACATCTCAAAAAGATCAGGGCAGAGATACTGTAGAAGCACAGGCACGTGTAAAGACAGAAAAAAAGGTTTGAGGGGAGAAGGGTGAACAAGTTAGAGAACCCTCAGCTACAGTATGTTGGCCCACATGACTCAGTTTATTGAGTTCTGCTTCACCTCCACTCACATAAACACAAACAAACTCTGGGAAAGATACACAAACAAAACAATACTAAAGCTGGAAAGCTACAATATAAACACAAGTATTCATTCTCTGAATCAAACTAATAAAAAACATATGCATTTGCCAAGCACTATTTCCTCTCCTCTGAATGTAAACAATATTTTACTCGAGTTATTAAACAGCTGTGTGTGTGCAAGCCTAAACATTAAAATAAAGCTGCATTTTGGTGCATAATTTCACAGCCATTTCTTGCTGTTTAGCTGCAGAAGCATATGCTAAAAATGTGTCCATGTCTTTTTTAACAGGATCACTGACTCATGTAGCCATGTACTGTATGGGGAAACACAGAGCTCTGAAAACTTGCCACAGAGCAGCAGCAGCAGTTGTACCACAGATACGAACTGACATCTGGAACCAAGCAAACAGTCCCATGGTGAATGCCATGTACGTACATAAACACCCTGCTGTGTAAAAAATATAAATCTAAAAATATGTCTGCAAAGACAAGGACATTCAGCTAGCTGACAGATTTTCACTTCACCTCCTGGTGAAGCTCTAATCAGTCGGTCTCTGATGAGCCCTGTTTATTTGAGTTCCAGCAAGGACGTGACAACACCAATTATTTGGAGAATAAACACTGTCACTGATGATGCTCTGTTGCTGTGATTCATTTCAATTAAAACTAATGAGCTCGGACAGAAATAAAGAGCTGATTTTGCTCTTATAGTGACAACACCAATGCCTATTTATCCAATGATTAGCTCTCAGAGTTCCAGCTGTGAAACAAATGAGGCAAACATTTCCGAGCTCTATCACTAAAAAGTTCAATCTTTCATATACAGGAACCAAAATTACCTCTGAGGAGTGAAAGAGATGAAGAATCTCAGCAAAGGCAGTGCTGATCCTGATGTGCCTTTATCAGACTCATGAAATAAACACAGTTTCAACTAATAGTCCACCTGAAGAAAGGAGAGTGACCCAGGTCAGATCAGTGTTTTTGTCTGGCTGCCATTCCACACTTACTCCCTCCTGATTCAGTGTCAGTCTATAGTGTATGGATGTGTGTTTGTATCTAAATGTGCATGCCAGGTGTATCTGTGTGTTCTTCACAAAATGAACTCTCTATATATGTGTGTTTGTGTGTGTGTCTTAGGAAATATGCTACTTGAATCCAAAAGTATCTGAAAATAAACTGCCAGGTCAACAAACAAAGCAACGAGAGGGAGTCTGTCTATGTGGTGCTGTGTATATGTGTGTGTGTGTGAGAGAGAGAGAGAGGGGTTGTGGAGTGCTTCCCCCTCTGTTTTCCTGTCTGCAGCAGGAACAGAACTCTCTGACCCTTCAGTGAACTATCCAGCAGAATCCCAGTACTGTGTGTGTTGTGGGTTTGGTTTGGAGGAGCTCAGGCCTAGAAAGGAAGCTCATCCTCGGGGGGAGTCGTCCTTGGAAGTCAAAGATCTGGAGGTCACTCAAGACAAGCTTGTTAAATCCAACACCCACCAGTGGAGATTGTATGTGGAGGATTGAGCAGAACCTCAAAGCAAACAGTCAGTCTGCAAGAATGTTAAACATTTGAAGTCATCAGTCATATTAAATCCAAAAATAAGGTTGTTAGTGTTTATTGCTATTCAGTTAATCATTGCCATAACTATTATGACAGCTAATCTCTGAGCTGTGATATTTCAAAGGAGAATAACAAGACTGGGCTTGAGGACCTTTGAGCTAAATGCTAGTGTCAGCATGCTAACATGCTGAGGTTTTAGGTGTAATGTTTACCATGTTCACCATATTAGTTGTGTGGATGCTGAGTCAGCAGCATCTACACTATGTTCTCCTCTTATTTTTATTTCTTCTGTACAGTTTTTGGCACTTAATACTAGCTAGAAAAACCATTCAACCAAGTCGGGACAAGTTCAGCTATTCATCTTGTATTCGGCTTTTTGATAACTATTATGGTTTTTGAATTATTGCAGTTTATGTTTTATGGTGATTTTGGACATTTCTCAGCCTCTCCATTCATTTGAATGGCCACTGAGAGACATGAATAAGGAAATGCAATGCAACCAATCACAGTTGTTATTGTCTGCGTCGTCGTGACGTACAGTTACATTTCTGGAGAGCACTTCAGGCTACCGCCCAGGGTACAAGGCTACAGGTTTTAACGCAGAGCCATACATCAAACTTAAGCGTTACTATTGTCAAGAACAGATTATCTAGCAGAAAAACAGCTTCTCATTTCTTAACCAGAGCAGATAAATTCATTGTTAGTGAAGTTTTGTGAAATGTTGCTTCGTGTGGTGACTGACAAGGACGCACACATCTGTTCAGCCTCCCCTTTCACTCTCAGACAGCCTTCAGCCGGGGTCGGGGTTGGAGGCTGGCTAATAAACAACTGCTGGTGTTGAACACACCTCTTCCCCAAGGTGCCCAGACAAATGGAGCTAAATTAAAGACTGCAATAACTTCTCCCATTATTTTGAACCAAAATAGTACATGATATCATTCAATATTAAAATACTTTTTCATGACATTGGATGGATAAACTTCTGAAGCAGCATTTCAGCTGTTAGAAGCTGAAATGTTGAAGTAAACTTTATTTGGGCAATTATTTCTATTCATTTATGAATTCAAGCAATTAGTTTTCTACTTCTAACTTTGGAAGTATAACTATACCTTCCACTTTTTCAGTGATGCATTTAAGCTCTCAGTTTGCTTAGAAAATAAGCTCCCAACTCCAGCTTTTCTTTCATGATCTTCCATAATTATTCAGCATTGGATCTTAGCTTTCAGCCATTTCAGCATTGCTAGGGTGATTCAGCAATCAGCATTCACATGCATTTTCTTCAGGAAATGCCTTTGTCTAATTTAATTTGTTATCATGCTGACATTTGCTTATTAATACTAAACACAAAATATAGCTGGGGTTAATGGGAATGTCATTAGCTTTTCACGTAAGTGATCATAGTAATCTAAGATTTTGACCTGATGATGGTGCTGTATAAAAAGTCCGCTGGTCATCGTAATTAGGACACACTGTACAAGAACCATGAACATTCCTATCTGTTGGTAAAGCAAAAGGAAAAGTCAGAAGATACCAAAAATCATTGCTATGTTTCCTCTGGGGTCTGTGAATACATGCAGCAAATTTCATGGAAATGCATCCAATATTTGTGGAAATATTTCAGTCAGGACCAAAGTGGTGACTTGATATAACTACTGCACCTCAGGAGCAACAAATTCTGCCTGGTTGTAGCTTCTCTACATGCTGCCACCTAGTGGTAGTTTAAAGCTGCCACACAAAAGTAAACTGCTCTCTTCTGCTTCAGCTCCTTAAATATTGACATAAAATGTGCAATATTGACAATTAAAGAGAAAAAAACTAGAAACTACTGGTTTTTTTTAAAACCAAAATCCTGCTTTATTAACTGAGGTCAGGGAGTTTGGAAAACATGGGCATTCACCAAGCAGACCTGATGCTTTTGGTTGCATTATGGGACATGTACTCTAGGATCATTTGAAGCTTGACCCAAACTAAAAGGTAGAATTTTACTGTATATGCTACTTTGAAAAAAAATCTCTCTTGTAAATCCCCAGCTTCACCCCTAGAGTAATAATAATGGTTGGTTTCACAGCAGTACTTTTATAAAGCTATGAATAACCTATGCATACTCAGGACAATTTGTCCCATTTTATTCATTTAATCTTGTTTTCATTGTTATCTCAGTGTGACTAAGCTCAAAACAATAAGCTGCCAATAAATATGTGCATTGCTTGAGCATTTAAAACTGTAGTACAACATATTTCACTCAGTATTCTGTGATGATTTTCATCGTTTTCAGGGAGAATCTTTAATAATAACATTGTACCAGTGATGTTATAAAATAAAATTCAAAAACATTTTGTGCAACTTTCTGTAAAAAAAAAAAAAAAACACAATCAAATTAAATTAAGGTGTTTTTGGTTTGAAATTAAAACATGAATGCTTGCGTTCACTCTGCTGGGATGGATTTCATAACATCGGCGGCTCAAAAGTATTGTGTCGTTACCATTAAGGCCACTGGGAGGAATGATAAGGTCACCGCTGTGTAAAACTACACACACTCAGACACATTCAAATAAATCCATTTTAAATGTCACTCAAGGATAAAGTCACCAGTGGGAAAGCTACCTCACAAAATAAACTATGATACATTTACTATCAATCCAAGTAATTCTTAGTATTTTAAATGTTCCATTGCATATATTGTCCTGGATCTTCACATGGTGCTTTTATCACAAACACCAGTGACTTGCAAATTATACAGTTTGTGCACCACTTTGACCGAAATATAAAAAAATGATTATTATTGCCTGAATTCAGTTATGCATAAATGCTATCATCCTCAACACTAGGAGGTGCTGCAAATGGTAGGCTTAGGATGCTAGCTACTGGGTCGATATTTTTGGTGACAGAGACAAATCCACCACTGGGAGGTTCTCAAAAACATAGCAGCTGAACAGAATCTGTGGACATTCATTAAGCATTAAGAGAATTCCCACTTGACATGAAAACAGAAAGACATGTTAGGTTGTTCTGGTCTCAGGCAGCACAGCCAACTCTTTGTGTTCTACAGTGAGGTTTCCTTGGATTCTGGCACAACTGGTTTGAAGGTCAGGATCTCTGTGAAGGTGTGACCTAAACAGAGAAGGACAGCAGGTCACTGATTGGTAAAACAAAACACTTCATACAACCTTCCCCCTTTCCTCTTTGCGCTCTATCCTTCTAACTTTACAGCTTCAGTCCTTCACTGATCGTCCTCGCACGTCAATCAGTCCGGCACCCTTACGTTTCCACTGGTCCAGCGGCAGTTCTGTGTTGTCTAGCGAATGGTCGTACAGCTGAGCTTCCTTCTCCTCCTCTGGCTCTCTGAACTCGGTGAAGTAAGGCAGCATGAGAGCCTCTGCAGCGGTTACCCTGCACTGCGGATCGAGTAATAACATGCGCTCCAGCACTGCCACGGCTGATAAAGTGGGACAACCAGAAAACAGTGGAAACAGGAAATCAAATCAGAATTTAACCATCAAACTGAAAATATATCAAATTAAAAGGCTAGGCGTGTCCTACCTTGTGGATTAGTTGTGGAAAACACCTTCTGTAGGTCTTTCTTCTCTGCTTTCGGAAGACTTCTGAGGTAGATTTTAGCCTACAGTAGGAGAAAAAATTTAAATATGTAAATTTGGACAAAGTATGTCCCAAAATAATTTTGCTATATTGCCAAATTGTGCCTCCAATTTCTAAACTTCAGAAGATTTTGGTGCACATTTGGGCATTACAACAAAACCAAGGAGTGTCTTTCAGTTCTTGTATGCCTTGCATATTCTGCACTCACATCCTCAGATTCTAGTTTTGATATAAATTCCTGAGTTGGTGTTCCTGTGATCTTCATGATCTCATTCAGCTGATCTAGGTCTGAGGAGTAAGGTTAGTCAAGGTTCAGTGCTGATGTTTCTATGAGCCACAAACACAGCAGGAGAACTAAAGGGTAATTTACAAAAAACACAATCCTCTACTGTATCTTTTTACTTTGCAACAGTCTTTAAGTTATCAATAGGAAAGCTGAGGAAGGTAAAAGGATACGGTCACTGCCTTTAAAAAGAGGTTTCCCCTGCAGCATCTCTGCCATGATGCAGCCCACAGACCAGATGTCCACTGAGGAAGACAGAAAACAGCGATAAGCGATAAACACTACACACTAGACTAGACTCAGCCTGTTCTCTTGTGGTTGTCAGGGTCATTCTGGGAAGCTGAAGCAGAAGCCCGAAGTTGAAAGCATGCGAGTACACTAAAACAACTATTTCACGCTACATCATAATAAAATAACATGAGGATTCAGCGCTAATGGAGTGAAGTGAACACTGATGAAAGATGAGAGTGTGGATTAGCTCTTCATTACCAGTCTGAGTGTAGTGCATCCAGCTCAGGATGACCTCTGGGGCTCTGTACCAGCGAGTCACCACGTAGCCCGTCATCTCGCTGTCTGCCTGCCTCGCCAAACCAAAGTCCAAGATCTGACAGAACATGAAAGGAAATATATTAGATTCAGACAAGGAAATATATTAGAGTTAAACATGACAAAATGTAGATCAGGGGTAAGTGTGGTTTCAGGAAGTTACCTAAAAATATAGAAGTGTCAAGGGCAACACCCTGACAACTTTACAACAATAGGTTGTGTTTGTTTAGGCTATCAGGGTGTGTACATTTTACCTTGAGCTCACAGTCTTGGTTGATGGCAAGATTTCCTGGTTTGAGGTCCTGCAAAAGTTGATGAAAAGACAAACTATGATTGTAGCACTGAGTCTGTAGCAAGCAGGGGTGAACCAAAATCCAGCTAATAACAGTGCATTATAATGTGGAAGAGCATACAAGAAACATCCTTTTCAGTTAGATAAGAACAGGTGAATAGGATATAAAAGACAACTTACCCTGTGAATTATACCAGCAGAATGAATATACTGTAATAAAAGAATATAATAAGTATTTAATCAACAGAACAAAGTTATAAACGCTCCCCAATGTAGGATCAAAGTAGGGTTCTCCACCTTAAGCCCCTTGAGCATCTGATAAACCAAATATTGAATTTTTTCCTCTGTCAGTCTCTGCAGCTTCATCAGCTTCCCAAGATCTGTCCCCATGAATGGCATCACCAGATAACTTCAAGAAGACGAAAAGAGCATGAGGAGGAAACTTCTCAACTAGATGCAACTTTGAGATATGTTTTTGTCACAAGCTGTATAGTAGGTTAATACTGCACTTACAAATCATGGAATCTGTCCAGGGAGAGGTCAGCAGTAAACACATCTAACAGGCCAATCACCTGCATCACACAGAAATATACAATGGGTCCTTTGTTTCATTTTTAACAAAGAAACATGTTCTAATTTCACTTTTGTCCACAGAAATTAAAAGCTGTCAAAAGGCCATCAAATCGATACTGTAAAACTACATTAAAGTAAAAACCAGCATAGATGATGCTGTGTCTCACATTGTCATGTTTCATGTGTTTGAGAAGCCGTAGCTCCCTGTAGGCCCGCTTGGCGAAGAGCTCTGACTGGAAAGGTCTGCAGAGCTTCTTGATGGCCACCTTGGCTCCTGTTCTGGAGTCCACTGCTGAGCTGGAAGACACAGCGAGTCCAGGGGTGCGTGACAAAAACATGGAATATCTTTAAAATATGAGCTGATCTGTAATAAATGGTAGCCTTGTGAAGTCTAGGGACTTCCCTGTAATTCAGGAAAAAGGGATGGGACTGTCATCCTCTGGTCCTCTCTGAGCATAAAACTTTTTTATTTTTATTTATCTTACATCTTCTGATCAGGAAAGTCCAAACCTGTGTTTACATACAAACACACACACACACACACACACACACACATCCAGTCCCCTTTCTGTCACCTTCCATCCAGCTGTGATCGCTGCCTGAAGCAGGCGGCTCTCAGCCTGTAGGCCTCCTATGTGCCACCACAGTGTGTCACACTTATTCTTATGTTAACTTGCGTTCAGGCAGTCATAGCAGGTTAGTCCCCGCCCACAGAGATCATCGCAAATAACAAAGAGGCTCCGTGCTACGAAAAGCACAAACTTGAAAATCAGCTTTGCTGTAGCCTTTATCAGTAAACGTGAACGAGCGCACAGATTTCGCCCATCACCACACATGCGCTCTTCATAATTTAGTAATACGGACAACCAGAGATGTGGGGATGACTGTGGTGAAGTGAATCGCGTCTTCAGCATATAAGGAAGAGAAGCAGCATGTGTTCGGCGGGGCGCAGACACTTTTTCTTTTGTTTGGCTACGGCACAGTGCGGCTGTCCTGTATGGCACCATCTGTTCAGTTGCCCTCTTTGTTACTGCGCTTCACATACACCAGCAGAGCGATCAGCGTTAGAACATCTTCCAGTTTTGCAGTTTTCACTTACCATACAGTCCCGTACGCCCCGGTCCCCACCTGCCTGAGATCCCGGTACCGCTCCGGTACTTCCCAAGTTGTCTTATTGATTTCTTGGCAGTAATAGCCGGGTCTGATTCGCTTAGACATGCTGTTTATTTAAAAGGTATATACAAGTATAGGAGAGCTCTTCTTTGGTTGTTTTGTCCGTCCGTCGCTACACACCCATTGTTCCAGATCCAACCTATGCGCTTACCCTCGATCATTGCGCAGCTCTGCGCGTTAGCCACTCAGGGCGCACCCTGGGGTTACAGAAAAGCCACTCCCGAGTCCCGCTGAAGTCCTTCAGTCAAAGGTGAAAGAAGCGTGAAATGTTACGTTAGACGTCTTTACAATGTGACTTTGAAATGCGCTGGTAGGGTGCGCACAACAATAAAACACTAAAAGTCAGCACTATGCTTCAGGTTACACTTTCTGAGCGTGGTGCAGGAGCAGAGGAAGCAAATATTTAGGGCTTGTTGGGACACGAGCGTTACTGACGCCCACAGGTGAAGAAATAGTTTCTAAAGTAAGTTATGTAAAAACTGTGGTTCGGCAAATACAAAACAGTGTCACGTCTCCAGGAAACAAGTAAACCTCTTTGGTACATACAAACTGAAATCTTACACAGTGTGAGGTTGGTCCCTGTGACATTTATACAAATAGAAACCTATACTGTATGACTAGAGAACAATCTATTCCCTCAGTGGCAACATCAATAAGATGTTAAGACGCTCAAAGGTCAATTCCTAAAAATGTAGCTAAGTTAGGAGTTAATTTGGCGTTAAATAAAAAGAACAATGTCTACTGAAAGTTCTGTTTATTAAAATAGATTGGCTACAACTAAGACCTCAACAGTGTATTTCATAATTAGTGTGGAAAAATAAAACTGAAACATAATTTCATTTGTCATTTTTTAACAATGCGCTACACCTTGAAAAGTTTAACTGTAACAACAAATCCAAAGTGCCAAAGCAGCAGACTGATCCTGGTTCAAATGGAACAAGTTCTAACCAGCACTGCTGGCCAGATGAGGAGGCACTACAATTTAATCAAGTTCATAAACATGATGAAAATGTATACCACTCCCCACATAATCATGCTTGACAGCATCACATTTGTGAATGTTTTAAACTTGCCATAAAAGATTTGCATAATCACAACTGAACTAAAACTCTTAAATATGTAGTTCTCATTTTCTCCTTCACTCTACTAACTGTGATGTGTGACCTTGGCAAAAGACCTTTTCTATTAAAGGACAATATATTGTGCGTTTATCTACTGTAGCTTATTTAGATCACTTTCTTTCACCCCTACACATGCCTGGAATATCATTTCTCTCTCACACAAACATTATATTATTTGATATATGCTGAGATGACACCCCACAGTTTGTCAGAGTCAGACAGGTCACAGTTGGACTTGGTGTCTGAGTCGTCATTAGTAGCTACCCAAACACTAACAGAACAGACAGGAAACAAGTTGAGGGTTTTTTGAAAAGTTGAAGAGTCAGGAAATTAACAATATCTCAAAAAATCTAACTATACTTGTGCACAATTTTGTATAAGATTCTCATCTCGTTTCTTCCACTTGTTGCACCTCGTATTGAAAGGCATCTGTAAAAGATCCATCCATGGACGGAACTGGTGGCCCAGCTAACCCCTCGTCAACAGAATTCCTCTAAGGTCATATGTATTTTTACGACCCTCCTTATTCCCTGTCTGCTTTGTATCAGCCAGGTTGCCTGTGTGGTGCTTTGCCTCATGCTAACTTCCCTGATACTGCCTGCCAAAGTAATACAGAAAGAGAGGGTAGGGACATAAAGAGGTATAAAATATGTACTATACTACCAGTGAACTCCCATATCATTTTAAGCAGACAAAATAACGCTCAGGGAAGTCATTAGGAAGATCATGTGACACAGATTTCCTGGGCCCAAGAAGGGGGCTTGCTGTCATAGGGAACAGGATTTCTGGCTCCGGTTGTGGACGCCATCTCTTGCTGTTGCTCCTCTCCTTCATCCCTCTCTGCCTGTTCGGTGCTGCCACCTTCCCCCACCCACGCAGGAAGCTCCAGTCCGGGCTGAGAAGAAAAAGGTTTCTCTAGAACCTTGAGGACCCGCTGGACCTGCAGCACAAAGACAACATGCAAGCAGGTGAACACTGTCAAAGTAAAACGACAAAGCTGAAGAAAGCAAAAGGGAAGCGAGAGTAACTCCAGCTTCCTAATTTTCATTATGAACTCACTCCTGTAGAAGCACTTCATTTGGTGAGAGTTTTTAAGAGTGACTTCACACTCAGATACACCACAGTCTAAACCAAAGATTACAATAAGTTACTAAAGCACAAGGTGTGTCACAGCAGATCAGGACCAGACCTCTGAGAAGTCGCCATTCTCAGCTGCCTCTATTGCATTCTGGGCGATGCTTAGTGTAGTCCATCGCCATCACCCTCTCTTCCTGGACTGACTGCACATCGCTCTGGCCCTCCAGCTCATGAGCCAGACGCTTCCTGTGGCAGAGATAACACAAGACAGTCAGAGCGTTATGCTAATGGAACAACGTCAGACTCAACACCCCATTTCCTCCTCTCTATCAGTCGCATTTCCATCCATCACCATCCTCTCCCAAAAAAAAATAAATAAATAAAAAATAAAAAGCCATTCGGCCCATGCAATACGTCCCCCTGCTCTTCTTTAATTTCCTTAAAAAGCTTGCCTTTCTCCCTTTACCTCACCTGTAGCATGCGATCCAGTGGCTCCACTCCTCTGCCTGTTGGGTTTTCAGCTCTTCCTGGCTGGTCTCCATCAGGCCTTTCAGCCTGCTGAGTCTGTCTAACTGCCTCTCTATTCTCATCCTTTCTGAGATCATCTGGAACAGTGCCGGGTTGCTCTGAGCGATAGACAGCAGCATCGCCAGCTCACTGTCAAACACAGAACAGAAAACATAACAGTTACAATCCTTACCAGCATGTTGGACAAAGCAGAGAAAGAGTGCGGTCATACATCTGCTGTGAGAGACTTCATAGAGAACAAGTATAAAGAGACATGGTTATGTTTATGGCACATTCACTTCTGCTGACTGTGATTAAATGCACAAAATCCAGATTAGTTTAGGCAGAAAATCAGATAAAACATAACCACAAGTCTTCCACAGAGTTTTAAACACACAGCCAGAGCAGATAGATGGATGGTGGTATTTTGTTTTTTTCTCCAACGCTGTTATATAATGACAACCCTGACAGTTTCTATGACATTACAAATGATGTAGATCAGACAGATGTACGATAGGATTAGTATTTCAGTGAAGAGAGATTAAAGGTGCGATAATATTTTTATCTTAATGAATGGAATAAATATGCATATATTGTGACAAACCCAGCTTGTTGTGCTGCCACTAATTGTCCAAAGAACAGCAATAAGTTTAAATAAAATGCACATGACGTAAAAGTACTATTAATGATTATAATAATTATATTTACTTATTGTATTAATTACAGGCATTATTAACAGTAGGTAAAGTCAGACCACTGCACATAGCCTAGTGTCCATCAGTTCTGCGTGCTGCTGACCTGAGGCGGCTCACATGTTAGATGCTTCTTTAGGGCATGAAAGTTTACTTTGTTCAAAGTAAAAGAGAACAGTTGCAGACTTTGTCTGAAAACTGCAGGTAGCTGACTGTAAAGACTAATCACACCTTAAAACCACGACTGCTGTGCCCTGGGAGAAGGAGGACAGGTAAGGAGGAGAGGGAAGGGTTTTTTTTTTTAGTTTTAAATTGCATGCAGTTTGTTTTGTGATTAGAATTGAGCTAACAAAACTGATTATGATTATTTGGGACCATGCAAACATTAAAAGGGGGTGGCATTAAAATGATGGAAAGCCTGGCTGGGAGCTCCTGTCACACTGAAATGTTAATTGCGTTCTGTTTGACAGACTTTGAAATAGTCAGAGCCTGTTATGGGATGTGTAAGCACTGGCCTTGGTTAGCTCACCGTGGATCCATACTGGGTTTGTTGGTGGCTTTGAGCTCCTCTAAAGAGGCGCACTGCTCCAACAGGAGGTCTGTGGCATGTTTGACAAAATCCTCTTCTAACACACTTTCTCCCTCTGTGGGACAGGAAATCTGACTCAGACTGCGGAAGGTGTTTGTGAAGTCAGCACCTGCAGGGGGTGGAACAGAAAAGGTTGGTGCAACAAGTCATTGTGCCCCAGTGATTATTCATGTTTTATACAACTCTCTGACCAGATTAATTGCCCCCACCTCAGACTCTGTTGCTAGGCAGAGTGAGGCTCTCTAACTGCTGCCCTACCTGTGTTGTGCATGGTCTGCAGCAGCTCAGTGATCAGGGTTTCATCCTGAGGTTCTTTTTTCTTCAATAAACCCAGTTTCTTCCTCATGTTCTCTAGGTAGAAGCTATTGTACAGGCCCAGGTACTCGCCAATAACTGACTCAGCCCGGTCTGGTGGCAGCTCTGGAGCAAGAGCCTCTGCTAGCTTCACCAGGTTCCACCTGCAGATAGCTGGCTGAGCCTGGTAGGAATAGCGGCCAGAGTTGTCAGAGGCATTGCAAACGAAATCTGGATCAAACCTGCCAGAAATAAAGAAAGTTGGTTTATATAATCTGGTGTGTTCATATCCCGGACATGGTTGTTGTGATTATGTTTTGCTACCGTTTTACCCTATTCCTGTATGATTATGATAAACTGCTGCAGCAAAATACAGATTACATATAATAGTTAAATAATGAGACAGGACAATCAGAACAATCAACAAACCAAATGTCCAACCTGTCCATAAATCCATATGGACCATAGTCCAGTGTGAGTCCCAGAATGCTCATGTTATCTGTGTTCAGGACTCCATGACAGAAACCTACACACTGCCACTGTGCCACGAGTCGAGCTGTGCGAAGCATCACCTGCAGACAGGAAGGAGGCATAATTTCACATTACACCATGTTGTACTGTGTGTCCAAAAATATCCAAATCTGAAAACAATCCCTGGTGAATCTAAATGGTATGCCTTATTTTTAATTAGATGTGAGAAATGTCAAACAACTGTATTAAGAACTCTTCAAATCTTAGTCTCATAGAAGACAGAGGGAACAGTGACTCAGCACATGCAGTCAACTGAACCATTTGCACATCTTAACTGGATGTGAGGAACGAAATGTTCTTGGCTTCAAACTGTAATGGCAGGCCTTGAACTGGCTACATGGTGATTTGATTAAAACTTGTGGTACATAGTAGTCGTACAGTTATTGTTAAAGGTCTGTTTCACTGGCTGCGAGTCCCTGAGGTTCTCTGACCTCTCTGAAGAACGCTACGTTCCTCTCCACTCGGTCTGGGTAATTATGCTGGATCTCTGGGTAAAACATCTCAATGACATAATCCAACATCTGACCTCGGATCTCATCATGGCCGTAGCTAGGACCTTGATGACCTGTGAACTCGTCAACCTGCTTGAAAATTTCAAAGGATCCAAATCTGCACCAAAAGAGTACAATGAATACACTCTTGTGTATAAACAGTATCTTGAGAAGATCAGACATCCCTGAAATACAAGTGGACAATGCGCACTCACCTGAGGAAGGTGGGGGCAATGCGGAGGACCACAGAGCATCTCTCATAACAAGGTTTTCCGCTATAGTACACATCCCGTAAGACCCTACTGTCAGAGGTCACCACGGAGCCTGCTCTGCTGGTAGGCACACCCAGGAAGAACATGGCCTCACTGCACAGGAATTCTCTTATACTGGAGCGAAGAACCTTACGGCCATCAGCTTGTCTAAGGAGGCCAGGACAGATCACGCAAAATATAAGGGGCAACATCCTGATTCTGCAGGATAACCCACATCTCAACTGTATCAAAACAATTTTAAAAAATCTTCTAAAACCCATCTGCTCCTCTTTGGCCCCAACTGCTCATTTACATTGTTAGGTAATTTCTTAGTCAGATAGATATTGGTTAGAGATTTGTTGTCTAGAAATGTTTAGTGGCAGCCTGAGCTAGACAGGATGTCTAGCTCAGGCTGTTAAATGCTTAGTCATCCTTATGAGCTCTGCAGGCTGCATATAGGCCAAGGTTGACTAGATTGAAGAGTCTGCAGGCAGGAGGTTTTTGTTATTATTTTATTATGATATGTTCAGCCGTAATCTTAATCATAATATCTTCTGAGGCTTACTGTCCGGACATGTTCCTGAATGTCCTGTATGTTCTTAGATACACACCACATAATCAACACTCACACACATTGATTTTCTTCATGTTTTGACTATTGTTATGGTCAGCTTCAAGCTGGCATATCAGGTGACGTCACCGTTTGCCGTGCCTGTGTAGAATGGGGCTAAGCCCAAACCAGATAAATTGTATAGAGATCTTGGGTTCAGGGTCTTTCATCCTCCAGGCTGCCTGCGCGCAGGTTTGGGGATGGAAGAGATCTGGACGTGTAATGTTAATTTTACCTGTGATCCTTTGAATAAACCAGCACGGTTATTTTTTATATAATCCAAGTGGTCTGCTTCGTCTCTGGGAGTTCCTGGTTTAAAAGAGTCGGAAGAGGCTAATAACAAAAATAGCTTATAACATCTTCTACAAGTGGAATCAGTCTTTTCCTATGAAAAGAGTCACTTGACAATTACGTTGACACTGGGAACAGTTGTCTCTTCAAACCCCCAGTAAATGAAAAAAGATCTAACTAGGTCTACAAAAATACACAACTATTTGTACCTGGAATAAGGGGTCAGTCCAGCTCCTTTCACCTGGATTTCCCACCGGCTGCTCGGGTTTTCCTGTAATAGTTCGGGGTCTTGGCCAGGTGGTACCTTCACTTCTCCCAGGTAGCAGGCCGCCCCGTCTCCCAGCTGCCCGGCGAACTGGCCGAACTGGTGCCCACAGTAGCAGTGTGCGGCGGGCTCGGATCCAGGCATGATTTTGGAGCCGCTGAGGTACTCTGGTGCGAGCGGATCGTTCAAGACCTCCTCTCCGTTGAGCCCCAGCAGCGCCAGGGCTTCAGGCGACACCGCCACGAACCGAGGCCTGGTCAGCGGCTGCGGCTTCACCCGAGAGAAACACGCTGCCTTCACCTGCCTCACCCCCGGCTCCTCTGACGGGTCCAGGGGGAGTTTCCTGAGAACGACGTTGTCAAACTCGAGCCGCTCTAGCGGAGAACGACTCGTAGCTGGACCCATGTCGTCCACCCCGAATGAGCCAAACAGCCTGAGCATGGACACACCGGGAAGAAAGATGCGTGATTGTCCCAGGCGACGTCCTAAACAAGCCATCCAAACAGGGCCATCATCCTGCTTTAACCTACCGACACGGTTGTAAAGTCGTCACGAATAACGCTTTCACAACCCTGCAAGATTCAACGGATGTTTGCCAGACATTTGGTGTAACACTATTATTGGTCCGACAGGAAACAGACGGAACAACATAGGCCGAAATTCAAATTAATGTCAAAATAAAATAGCAATGTTTAGAAATGACTAAAGATTGGATAACCATTTGCAAAATTTTGCTACATACTGCATTTTAATAACACCGATTTACTGAACTTTGCTCAACATGAAGTGTATTGCTGAGGTTTAAATATTTGCAGCTAACATGCAACAGGAAGACAACATGTTGGAGACAAACATAATTTATCTTTACTTAAAATGCTTTTATAATTCATAACTGATTTTTTCATTCAATATTTGGTTTGTTAACAATGACAGTACAACACAAGTATCTGGGGAAAATGAAAACAGGCATTCATACAGCTTTCTTGGTAATTCTCAAACATACAGTAGATTAAACCTTTAGAAATTATGATGGAGCGAGACATACAATATTCAAGTTTCATTGTATTATACTGCCAAGATATGAGAGGAAAGACTACCTGACTTATTCTTATTTTTCTCATATCTACAGAAAATGAATGTATGAGTTGGAAGACATCTGGGTCAGTTTTATGTAAAGATACTCTGAAAGTGGTCTTATGTTTGTAAGATGAAATGACGGTGCTTCAATTACACAAGTCCCATATTAATTCACTGGATCATTTCACAAACAGTATAAATAGATCTAATTCATGTACTGCACATACATTATTTAAAACTAAGATAGGTTAAACCTGGAAAATAATGATGGTTTATAACCTTGTAACCAAGTTCACATGTCTGTTCAACTTACTGGGACATCTCCCATGTTACGCAGTTTTAGGGATGTCATCTTGCCAACTTTTAAGTGTGCAATAAAAAGCTCTATACTGTGGATACTGTGCTCAGTGTTGGTGAACACAAGCCTCAGCAGAGGCAGCAATCTGAGGCACAAAGGCAGCAATGACAGCAGTGTAAGGCTTTACCTCCCTCCTCTGACCAACCTTAACTCACCATAGTCAAAACAAGTCCATAACAAATGTCCCTTGAGAAACCATTGCGGTAAAGTTCAGTTATTAATTTGAGACAAATAAATCCATTTTCTTTTCTTTTTATCATCTCTGCTCTCATTTTACAGGAGTGATGCATGATAGCATTACACACAGCTGATGAGCTGAATGTGGAAGGTTTATAAGAGATTAGTTTCTGTACAGGATGCATAGTGTTCTAGCAAATATGAACCCTTACTCAGAGTCAAGAGCCAATAAATGCTAAGGTGCCTCATACTGGATGTGCGCTCAATAAAATAAATCCTATAATAATGAGGCATATTTCAGCCTGTCCTGTTGCAGGTCTCTGCTGAATGTATGAGTGACCATAAAATGCAGGGGCCATGGAAACATTTCCTTTAAAATTAAGAAAACAAATTTAATATCTATATTAGGGGAAGTAGTATTTACAAAATATGTATATTTCATCTTATTTTAATAAAAGGACAGATTCCTACCGAGTTGCACTGACCATGTGTTTGCAGAATGTGTAAAATACATATAATACACATTTTTGCCATTCCGTTTTCTTCACCATTAGCCCTTACAGCTGCAATATGAGGCACTTGTCTGTTGATGCAGGCAGGAGTAAATTCTGTCTTACGCTTATGGAAAGAGGATGCTTTTATTTATTTTTTTAAGTAGATGTTTAAAGAATTCAGAATATGATAGCTAACCTTCCAATTCAGACATTTTTGATGCTTACCTCACACTCACAGCATGAGGGTCACCATGATGTGTTCAATTAAAAAACTGAAGAATTTATAGAATTCCAAATTTATTATGACTGATTTAATAATCTATTTTCTCTTTTCTTCCATAGGCCGTATTTGCATACAAGACTAAACCAGGTCTTAAAAAGTGCCAATTATGAAAAAAAGGAAAAAAATAAATACTGGATGGGACTAGGAAGGGAGGAAGAATAAGGAGAGTGTTACAAAAGTTTGCCTCTCAGCAAAATGGCTCCATCATATCAGGACACATGACTGAAGAGGACTCTGATGACACTTGTCAATAAAATCTCTATGAGTAAGCTATTAAAAGGAATAATAGGGGAAATGTAAGCCTATTCAAAGGGAATTACTGTCATGTGCACACCTTACCAGATGCATGCTTGCAAAAATACAAAAGAAAACAGTACTGTCATGGTTTCTTTGGCAGTACAGTCCTGCTGTGTATACAGGGACATCAACATGAGGTGGGGGGCTCTGAGCCCGCTGTGGTCCGTGCTAGCTCATAGTGTTGGCTGGTGAACTCTTTCCTCCAGCCTCTCCTCCTGATTTTAAGGCCACTGGTGATAGATGCATTGTTTTCATAACTTAAAGGTTGTGTCACTGATGGCTTAGAGAATACCGGTGGGGTCAAGCAGGGTTTGTCCACAGAATCTCCACTACATACTGGACTGCAGGTAAAGACAGCAGGGCTCTACCTAAACTCCCTCCAGCACGGTAGCAGGCATATCCCAGCATTCCCATCATGACGCCCTTTATGACTGTGCGCAGCACCCAGCTGAAACGTGAGGGAGGTGCAACACTGCGGAACAGACGGATATGACACAGAGTAGCAATGTTAACATTCAAAACTTGATTGTAGGGGATTTCTATTACTCAGCCATAAGGTGTCATGTCACAAGACAAACATACCTCATGATTTCATTAATGTTGAGCTGCTTCTCCCAGTTTCTTTCTATGCCAGGGACATGACCCATCCCTACGACTCCTACCACCACAGCAGGCACCTCTGCAAAACAGTGTAAAATGTTCTTCTACAGCCTCATATTCTTTATATTTATATCCTTGTATATGAAACTATGAAACTACCGGTTATCTCTTGTAAGACACAGCAAGTGCCCACTTTAACAATGTGTATTAAAATAATTATAGCATAAAATTTTACAGTTAAAGTAATAAAAAGTGAAGCAACAGAGTGAAAAAAAAAAGTCCCACTGTTTATGTGAAATACAGTCACAATGACACCCTGTTCATATTAAATATGACTAAGCATTTCTATTAAGTCTCTGTAGCAATCAAACTACATTACTGTTGGTTAATTACACAACAATTTTGCAACAAATTTGATGAGAGATAATATGCAGAGGTTTGCACTTCCTACACTAAATTTAAAAAGCAAAATTAAACTCAAACAAATGAATGTTAAACTTTCATTAGCAATGTATATCTGCAAGTAGAAAATTGTCAAAGCTGTCTTTTATGATGTATATGTAAATAAAAATATCTGTATGCATCAATCCATAAATAATGCACGTGTATTATGGAGAAAAGAACAAGAATAGCAAGCTAAACATCTATACTCTGAAGCCTATACAATGATTTTCAATATGAACAAATAAGAACAACGTGATTACTATTTTATGGAGCACTGTAATACATACTCTGGGCATTATGGGGGGCCTCTACACAGTGTGTAGCTTGGCGAAGTGTGTGTGTGAGGTAGATGTCTCTTTCAGCTACGATGGTTTGGTGGAGAGCAGGAAACTCGCCGATCATCTCTGACATGGTCTGCTCCAGCAGGTCCTTCTGTTTGCACTTCTCAACGTCCTCTTTGCTGAAATATAATGCACAGTCTGACACAGTCAGTGAGAGATCTGCATGTAGCACAGTCAGAAGGAGACGACGTTTTTGTTGGTTCTTGGCTATGATATTTTACTGACTTTGAAGTGGAACAGCAGTAGTTGTAGGACCCATTAGAATGGGAATCTTTTTTCTTTTATTATGTTACATCTAAGGTTCTGAAACATTTTAAGGACCCACTATTTAAAGTCTTTATAAGATACATAAACAATTATCTTTTTAAAAATTTCAGATACAGTGTTTAATTTTTACTCTTCCATGGTCTAAAATGAACATTGAATATATTTTTAAGGGCACAAGGAATTCATTGTTTACATCCATCATGTCAAGCACATTAAAATTCTGCAAAATGAATTAAATAATCTGACTGGAATGAAATGGATTATGGGATACTGAGGGAGAGTTATGTACATGTACATTTAAGCAAAAACCTATTTCTAACCTCTGTAGGAGACTTTGAAATGCTACAGACTTATCACACCATTATGTGTTCAGTCTACAAATGCCAAATTCAGAGAGCCCAAACACTGACTTGCAGCCACAGATAGTGAATGTTGAGATTAAAATGACTTTTCAGGCTACGAAAATGGCCTAGAAAATTGACTATTGACTATTCTGTTCAGATCTCCCTTGGTAGTTTGTACATCAGAGAATGTACAGTAACATCAGCTTTAAGGCTCAATGGAAAAACTGTCAGACGATGGAAACACAATCACTTTATGCTGACAGCTTCCAGTCAGATCCCACATACAGTGGCGATTTAAAAACTGGCAGAACCGCATGTACTTTCAAAAATATGTGAGCGAACACATTCCCTATTTCTAAACAGATAGACAATCATGATACATATACTATAGTTGCATTTTTTCCAGAAAAAATGTTCAAAGCAAAATATTTTTACTACTACCACAGTATCCCCCAGAAGCATTTACATTTCAATTTTCTTGATTTCTGTCTACCATTTCAACAAAATGAAAACCTCTGAAGAGATAGCATTCATAATAAAAAAAATGCAGGTTCAGAACCCACTCTGGTCCCAGGTGTGTACTGGACACTTCCCAGTGACTGACATTCTTTTAAAAATCATCCTTCAATCAAAATTTCAATCAAAATTTATTTGTATAGCACTTTAAAAACAACGTCTGGTCAACCAAACTACTTTACACGGCAATGCAAATCCAGAGTAAAAAATATCAATAGAGAAATAAAACAACATAGGAATATAAAAGCACCAAGTACACAGAATCAAAAGATAAAAGGAGGAAGCATCAGACAGCACTATGTATTAAACGCCAAAGTGAATAAATATGTTTTAACCAATGATTCAAAAGTTGTCAAGTCTGCAGAGGATCTAACATTAAAAGGTAAACCATTCCACAATTTAGGAGCTGCAACAATAAAAGCACGGTCACCCCAGCGTTTGTATCTGGCCCCGGGCACCTCGAACAAAAACTGGCTTGAGGATCTGAGTAATCTAGTCGGTTCACGCCACCTCACCAACTCAGTGAGGTAAGGCAGTGGCAAACCATTAAGAGCCTTAAAAACAAAAATCAATAGCTTAAAATGAATTCTAAAATGAACTGGAAGTCAGTGAAGAGAGGCCAGTACTGGAGTTCTATGGTCAAATTTCCTAGTACCTGTTAAAAGATGAGCAGCAGCATTTTGGACCATTTGAAGACGAGAGATAATGTTTATCCTCAAATGGCAAATCATTATTTTTGAGTAATTAAGTAGGGCTATACAGGTGGATCAGTATGGATTTCAGAATGAAGTAGAAGATGCAATGCATCTGCCTTTTTTTTTTTTTTTTTTTAAACAGAGGCATCTAATAACAAACTGAGAAAGACAATCCCATGTCACTGTGTGATTTAGGTGAGTTCATACCTGATTGGATCTGACAGAAAACACAGACCCCAGGCCAAACGGGCCTTCTGCCAAAGACTGAGAGCAGCGATGGCTCTCTTGAACGTCACAGGGATTGGCCTGTCCCCTAGGTGAAATTTACAGAAAGGCACCCGTCCAGCCTGTGTGGAAAGATAACTTTAAAGCATAAACAAAGAAAATAAAACACACATACTGTATTTAAATTTGTACTTGCATGTTTTACCTCTTTGAAGGCCTCTCTGAACTCTCCTCCAGGAGCCATGCCCAGTTGCTCAGTGATGTGAGCAGAAACTTTGAGCAGGAGAATCTGCATTAGGCCAGACATCAGGCCATTCTGTCAAACATAGAGGGCAGAAATAAGCATTCAAAGAGAAGCAGACAAGCCTTTAGTGGTTATTCTTCTAATATTCTAAATATAAGTATGTAAATATACTAACAATAGTACAAGTTCTTTAGTTGAAGGTACTTACATAAATACAGTTTTAGAAAAGAGGATAAAAGCTGGTGCATTATATATCAGTGATATTTAAGTTGAGTTGGCAGTTTATTAGGTACACCAAGCTAAAGCCAATGTGCTCTAATTTAACAGTCCTGCAATAAATCCTCACTTCAGAAAGGTTATAATATTCTGCTTTTGTTGAAACTATTTTTCACACAAACTTCATCTTCAAATGGTCATTCTGGAAGATGAAGTTTGTGTTGCTGTTAAATTGTATTGCATTACACTGATAGGTATTCTATATTATTCTCTCCACCCACTTATATTAGAGATGCTAGCCTAAATAAGAGAAACACCTCTCTGTATAATTCAGTGATGTCCTACAGCAGCTTTAATTACAACCTGCAAAATGACCAGGCAGTTGTATCTTCACCTCTCATTAACTGCGAACTGAGTGGATTTCTCCATTAAAAATGAGTGCATGCTATTATGATGTTCATTATGTCTCCTCATTACAGGATTATAGGATGCTTTATTCAGAATACAGTGTACATTCACTGTCTTGTGTTTCCCTCTTTCTTGATCACCATTGTTAATTCCCATCACTCTGAAGGCCTGACCTAAAAAAGCTGAACCTTTTCTAGGTTGATGTCTTTGGCTTCCCTCATCAGTGTATTCTCGTCCATCCTCAACATAGACACCCTGTACTGGCACAGCTCCACCACCACCACATCTGGCTGCACAGCACGAATCGTCTGTGTGAGGGAAAGAAAGCGCAAAGGGCATGTCAGATAAGGGACAGTGACAGAATAAAAGAGCACATGAGAGTAGAAGGGAGACAAAGTGCAAATAAGCAGAGGGAGAAAGTAAACTAAACATCTCAATGTGGAAGAATAGAACAATAGAACAGAAGATTATACTCAGCAAAATAGGAATGACAGCCTAATTACAGCATATACAGATTGGCAAACTCATTACCACTTGCTACTTTATAGCACCTCTCCACATTAACAGAATTACTTTATTATTTCAATGCTGGCTCACAGCATATCACCTCTTTAGAGGGTGTAAATAGCATTCCACACTGTTCAAACCCTGCTGTAAATTCTCATCGGCTCACCGTGGCCACATCATTTTTGCTGCTGTCACTGAAGTGGGCAGTGCCCACCAGGTACAGGATGCTGCCATCAGGAGTGATAAGACGGGTCACTGTCTCTGGGAGCTCAGGGGAAGACTGGCGCCGCTGAGCTCGCAACTGCCAAAGCATCTCCAATGTTTCACCATCCGCTAGACAGTAACAACAGAAACAGAAAAATACAAGATGAAAACTGTAGTGTTACTATATCACTATGATTTATTCAAGGGAGGGGATTTTTTATAACTTGATATTTTCTTAAACACATTAGCTGTAGTTTTACTAATTTATATCCCAGTTCCTTTCACACCAATATTAGCTTTACACATGCAGCATCTCTAATGATGGAGAAGAGTTAAGTTACAGCTTTTAGTGTACTTCACTCAAGTGGAGAAAACCCCGTACACATGAAATTAATCAGAACATCCAAGACATAGTCTGTAGGTTAGTGACCAATATGGCAACACATGCATTTGCCTCAGAAAAACTGCACTGTTAAGGCATAACAAGTGATGATCTACAACTGCTCTGAACAGTAGCACTTTTATTACTGCATCATGCAGATTTAAATAACAATATAACAGCAATAATCTGTAAAGTTGAGAGACTCAGACAACATTCAAAAATGCTTTATATTATACAAAATTCTGCATAATAAAACAATGACACAGCAAACTGCTGCTTTAAAAACAGTATTGCACCATCTTTCTGGCAAAATGAAGCATAAACACTATCGGGAGAAAACCAAACAAAGCTAAAAAAATGTAGCTTACAGAGGCCTGGAGGTATGCACGCCGGTTCTTCCTCTGAAGGATCCGCTGATGCGACGACTGACTCATCCTGTGAGAGATTAAAACAGCAAACAAGATCTTAGACAGTGTACATATTTAAAACAGCACAAGACTGGGAGGTTAATACTGTCTGAGCATAACCAATTTGAGAAAGACAAGCTGATTGCATATAAATAGGTAACTGCTCAGGGCAGAATTCATTTGCAATGGTTGAAAAACAAATTAAACAAACTAACAACATATGGGTTTTTACAGAGACTGCCCAGTGTGTCGCCTCAACCCGGTGAGAGCAGAACATCTGGCAAAACATCAGTGAAAAACATCCCTAACTCTCACTCTCACTCACTCACTCACTCACACACGTACAAACCTCTGAATTGTTGTCTTGTTCCATGTTTGAAGCACTGAAAGCTGCGTGCGACAGAGAGCAGAATAAACATCTGTCCACACCATGCAGTCTATAGTTCACACACTAAACTGTGATGCGTTCACTGACAGCTACGGCACTTACCAACTTACAGTACAGTGTTACTGCTTACGTCGCTAATAGGGCGCTGACTGGTCTAAACAGAGCAGTTAAAGCGCGGTAACGATGCAGTGGTGACTATCACTGACTTGTGGAAAGAGAATAAGCAGTTAACGTTATTTACGGTGAGGCCATCGTTACGACTACAGCAGGTCTATAAACTAGCTACGTTACTTCCCGATACCACTGAACGTTTACTCGGGGCTCGTCGGTTTAGCTAGCTACCGGATGATAACAGCTAACTCAAGCTAATGTAGGCTAGCAAGTCCGGTAAGAATTTAGTCAAATTATACACTTTGAAATCGAATAATTTCGCAACAAATGCTCCCGCGCTCAGATACAACATATCTGGTAACATTCGCTATTGTTGTCTAAAAATAGGCATATTTATAACTCACTGAGAAAGCCAGCACGTCTATCAGTACGCTCTTCGTCAGTACAGCAGTACAGTGCTTGGCTGAAACTGACAGCCGCGGTGCATTCTGGTACCTGTAGTCATTGATTATTGGACACGTAGACTTATTTTCTTTATAGACAGAGAAATTTTATGTAAGAAAACATTTTAATTTGTTTTTGCTATATCATTGTACACATTACAATCAATGTCTAGACTCTCTTATTCACATTTTGACTAACATAAAAAACTATCAGAGCTAATCTATGTGACTGTCTGTGAAAATACAGAAAACCAGGTCTAAAAGCAGAGTTGTGTTACAACATATAGCTAATATGCTTTCACACACACTCACGCTACTAGCCTTAAAGTGCTTTTGGATGCATTTTATGTGCTTGAGTAGTCTAACAAAGTGAATTTTGAGCCAACCTGTGTCATGACAATGTGTCAGCTGTCTCCCATCACAAGTCTTGAACTGTTTACTTTAATGCCCAGAAAGAAAGGACAAGTAGGCTATAGTAAGTATAGGTCCACCTGTACTGTAGGTAGACCCCTGATAAAAGAACTAAAGTCTTGTACAGTGAATGTCATGCTGGTATGTTAGTCAGTGCGGACAGTTCTTGTAATGATGTATGCAGCTGCAAGAAATGGAGAAGTTATGGTAGGAACCCAAACCCATTCCCTTGTCCACTGACTTACTCGCTATAAAAAGTGTTTACATACTAAACCTTACTTGGTTTAACTACAAATAACAAACCAACTATTGTAACTATTTATTCCATCACGTGTTTTTGCTGATCATATTAGCACAATCTGAGACAGAAAGAAATTTAGGTTGTGTCAGAGCAGCAAATAATCAAATTCTTATAGCCATCAAATGTGGAACAGGTCAACATCTACTCATCACTTCTTTCACTCCACACCACAGCACTACCACAAAAATAAGCCAGCTGAACACAGGGTCATATACTATACCTTGGGTCCAGCTCCATTGATCTGCCCTTTTGGTAGATTTCAAATTATATCGGCTAGCTATTAGACACAACTGACAGGTTTTCTGAGCAGCATTATAAGTTTCATGTTGTTTTACAAAGCTGCACTCTCATTGTAGGATCTACTGTTTTTTTTTTTAATAAAGAATGCCAATTTACTTATTATTAATATCGTGGAAATATAGCGGAGCCCAGATCTGATGCAATTTCCTAATCAGTGGTGAAATGGCATGGATAAAGCTATGTAATGTGTGTTATATTTTAAACACACCACAAACACTGAGTCATGTACATTACAGTGTTTATACATTTATAGCTTTCTGTGAAATATGATGTTGTAAGCGCATACATTATTGCCACAAATATATTGTGATGTTTTGCATATTAATTGTGCGGATCTCAACAACTGTACTGTGTGAGCTACCTTTCTACTTGGCTATTCATATAAAGGGACTAAGCATTATTATATATGTTTAAATACATTTTGTTTGGAGCCATAATGCAGCCCTCTTTGCAGATTTTGAAGGTGTATGTCATTATTTAAAAAAAAGCTCATGTTTCACTCATCACCGCACAGCATCTCTTTACATCTTCTCGATATAGCTGTTTGACCCTGCGCTATAGCACCCTGTTGAATTATCAATGCTGGTTTCATTAGAGGGTGAACAGTCATCCTGAGACATGTATGTGACATCATTTCCTACAGCAATACTCTGGTCAACACCATCAAATGCACCCATTTCTGTCATATTTATCTTAATTTTTTTAACAACTAGATTTTTTCATGTAATTTTCCATTTCTGCTCATCAGGCAGCCCAATCCACTCATCAGAGAGGTGTGAGATTGAAAGAGTGGGAGGGGCTGTGGATATGTTGTGACTGACAATGTGGTCATGTGGGTACAGTGGAGTGTCGAGGACACAAATATCCATCAACATCCCCCTTCTTCAACATTCTCCAGCAGCGATGAGCTCCCCTGGTCTCTCTGCCAGTCTGTCCCTGCGGTTTTCTTCATCTTCCTCTTCCTCAAAAAGAGAATGATGTATATTCAGCAACTGATGTGTGGGGACTCTGGTCAAGGGTGGTGGCTGAGACACAGGGTTTTCTGCCTGGGTGAGAGGCTCCGTTGGAAGAGGGGAGGACTTGGGACTGAGAGCATCCTCACTAGACGGTGGGTTTGGGCTCACACCATTTACATATGTAGTGGTGGGCAGGGTCACTGTAGAAAAGGCAGTGTTGGTCGATTCTGGAGAGCAAACTTTAGTCTCTGAAAAAACAAGCAGGAAATACCAGACAGGGACATCAGATGAAGAAAGGACAGTCTCATGCCTAGTTGTCAAGTGTAGCTTGATAACATGGATAACATATGCTCCTCTTTTACAAGCCAAGAAGAGCAGCATTAGCAATATTTATTAAGCATATGAAACTGTAGATAATGGTGCCTACTATTTGGATGCAGGCAAAGCATAGTAGGATGAACTGGGATGCCATGTTTGCCTGGTAGCTACCTGTGATTGATTCTGCCCTAAACTAGGAAATACCATGCAGGCATACCTGTAATTGCACCAGACACATGAACAATAGTGTGTGTGCCTTCAAGGTACACTGTATCCATGTTGTGCTCTGAAGGTAGAGGTCCTGTGGTTGTTGCTTCTACCTTGGGCTTACGAATGGTAAGCATGTATGGGTGGACATCTAGAGAGAAGTTACGATTGTGCTTTTTCTCCATCCCGCTTAGATCTACAAAGAAAATAACCAGATGCACTTAAAATTCTGCTTTAACAGAATGCTAAAGCAGAAAGGCAGTTCATATTGTCAGCATTTGACATGTCACAGGCTTACTGTTCTTAGTATTGCGTACCTTTTGTTGCAGGATGTTGTGCGCTCTTGCTATCTAGAAGTGGTGCAATGAAGCTATCTGCCACTGTCTTTCGCCTGAGCGGTTTGGGTTTTTCAGGCTTTGTGCTATTTTCCATGCGTGCCAGGGTGGGGGGCTCCTTTACAAATGACAGAAAAGACCAAAACAGGTCAGTATACATCACAGCTTAACTACAGATCATGTGACTAAAACAGCACTGACGTACTCTACATACAGTATGTTAGAAATCCTAAATGGGAGCCACTTCCTGTGTCTCATCAGAAAGTCTCTCAACAACAGCTAATATGACTCAGTTACAAACATCTTGATCAGACATACAGTGGATATAAAAAGTCTACACACCCCTGTTAAAATGCCAGGTTTCTGTGATGTAAAAAAACGAGACCAAGATAAATAATTCCAGAACTTTAGCCACCTTTAATGTGACCTATAACTTGTACAACTCAATTGAAAACAAACTGAAATCTGTTTTTCAGTGGGAAGTAAAAATAAAAAACTAAAATAATGTGGTTGCATTAGTGTGCACACCCTCTTACTGTGGGGGCTGTGACTGTTGTCAGAATTAAACAGTCACATTCAAACTCATGTTAAATAGGACTCAGTACACCTGCCATCAATTAAAGTGCCTCTGATTAACCCCATATAAAGTTCAGCTGTTCCAGTAGGCTATTCCTGACATTTTCCTAGTTGCATCCTACAGCAAAAGCCATAGTCTGCAGAGAACTTCCAAAGCATCAGAGGGATCTCATTGTTAAAAGGTATCAGTCAGGAGAAGGGTACAAAAGAGGCATTAGATATACCATGGAACACAGTGAAGTCAGTCATCATCAAGTGGAGAAAATATGGTGCAACAGTGACATTACCAAGAGCTGGACGTCCCTCCAAAATTGATGAAAAGACAAGGAGAAAACTGGTCAGGGAGGCTGCCAAGAGGCCGACAGCAACATTAAAGGAGCTGCAGGAATTCCTGGCAAGTACTGGTTGTGTAGTACATGTGACAACAATCTCCTGTATTCTTCATTTGTCTGGGCTATGGGGTAGAGTGGCAAGACAGAAGCCTTTTCTTACAAAGAAAAATATC